GCATATCTGAGGTTATTGATATTTCTCCCGGGAATCTTGATTCCAGCTTGTGCTTCTTCCAGCCCGGTGTTTCTCATGATGTCCTCTGCACATAAGTTCTCTGCAGTGGCTGTTCTAAATTTTTTCCAGTTTCTTCATGGAAGAAATGAAACCACTCCAAACCCTCAGGCTTGGCAGGTGACCCCAGACAGTAAGATATGGAGACCATGACATACAGGGTGCGGCCCATGAATGTTCAGTACATTTAATTATTAAGAACAATAAGACCCTTCCCTCACATCCGGTATACCCTTTTTTCTCCTTCCTTATGTGTTCTTAGCATGAGGTGACTCTCTTTCTGGTCTGGATTCTGGTCTGCCTTCCCCATATCACCCTCTGTCTCAAGATCTTTCCCCCTACCTTGCTCACCGGCTCTTGTCTCTACCTCTCACCTCAAATCTTTTCCTTCAGTTGACTCATTGGAAAAGACTCTGATGCTGGGAAAGACTCAAGGCAAAAGGAGAAGAGGGCAGCAGAGGATGAGATGGTTAGATAGCATCACCAACTCAACGGATGTGATATGAGCAAATTCCAGGAGACAGTGAACGACAGGGAAATCTGGCACACTGCAGTCCATGGCGACTCATAGAGTCAGATACAACGTAGCAACTGAACAACAACGGCACTTTTAACACTAGAATTTAAAATAAACTATATGGTATTTTCTATTTACCCACATATTTATAATTTCTAGTGCTATCTTCCCCCACCCCACTCCACCCCCCACAATTCACTGGGGTCTTCCCCTAGACATATATTATGGCTTCAACCACTGTTGTGAGATCCACCGGGTCCCCATCCTGGGCTGCAAGTTCTCTGGACACCCTCAAGGGCTATGCCTACATGGAGTTTGCCACCGACAGCTCGGCCCAGGCCACCATGGAGCTGGACAAGAGCATCTTTCAAGGCCAGGTCATCAAATGCTGCCCAAAAGGACCAACTTACCAGGGATAGGCCCCATGGAACACAGGGGTCTTCAGGAACACCCAGGTGCCAGGGGGAGCCTTCCCCCACAGCAGCCTCCAGGGCATGGCCCATTCCAGACTGTAAGAATGGAACCGGGGGTGCGGAAGAGTCTCACCATGGTTTTCACTGTGTTGAAGTGAGGACCTATTTTGAGAGCGGGGCTGTAGCGGGGTCAGGAGTTAACACAGCTCTACTTGGGACCATTTACTCCACGCAGATTAACTACTCCGCCCTCGTCGTTCAGCAGGAGGACAGTCCAGACTCCAGACCCCACGCCAAAGCCATCGGGCACCCAGCAGGGCGCAGGGCGGGCCTGCCATGGGGCCAGTCTTGACTGTGGAGGGCACGGGGCAAAGCTGCAGGTAGGTGATGCTCAGGCAGCTGGGTTCAGCCACAGTAATGCCTTTTATGGAAAAGTAGAAATGTGTGTCTTTTTGGTCAAGAATTTGGGCAGAGTTTATAAATGGAACATGAGACTCCTTCTGAGTCTCCCTCCCTTTCAGGGTTTCCCTTGTAACTTTTCAACTTCTCTGCCAGTACTGAACTATTTCTTTTGACACCTCAACCTTTATGAACTGAATAGTATCCTCAAGGTCTTAATTTCAGCTAATTACTTTTCTGCTTTGGAATTCAGGAATTCGCTGGATTCCTTTTTATAGATAGCAGTAGTCTATTCCGATGAAATTTCCCCATCATTTCTTCTTTTGAGATATATATATATAAATCATAATTATTTTAAAGTATGTATCTTATAACTTCAGTATCTAGATTATTTGTGAGTCTGTTTCTATTGTTTATTTTATTCTGTATTTCTGGTCATTTGTTCATTTCCTAGTATACCTGGTAATTTTTTGGTGAATGCCAAACGTTAATGCATGAAAAATTGTAGCACCACTCAAGAAAGGATTTCATTATTTTCAGATACTTTGCTCTAGCTGAAGCTGGGTTTCAGCATTTGGGAGGGCTGTTCTATTTCCAGGTTGTCCTTACTCCTAGAAGGTACCTCTGATGCATAGGGTGTAGCCCTTTAGAGGGCCCAGCTGAAAGGATGGCATATTCACCAGAGCCCCTACAATTCTGCATATCCTAAACTCCAGCCTCCATTTTCGCAGCACCAGAGGACTATCAGAATCTCTGGTTAGCTTGTTGGTTTCTTCCCATTTAGTTTCTCAGCACCTTATCCAAAACCTGAGCAGTTTAGCAGCAGGCAAGTAAGAAAGTACACAAAGACTTGTGGACTTTTTCTCTGTGATTCCCTCCCCTCTGAAATACTGGCCCCTTAAGTCCCTGACGTCTTAGAAGCCCCAAACTCCAACCCCATCTCCCAAGCCCAGGGAGACAGTGGAAAGCCCAGGCTTCTCGTGTTTACTTGGCTTCTATCATCCTGCTCTGCTAACAGGCAAACAGGCAAGGGGGAGAAAACGGAGACACCACTCAGACGCCAACTGCAGGTCCAGGCCTCCTCTATTTCTGATCCACTGGCTATAAATTAAAGAATCCCACGATCCCCTCTTTGGGTTTGATAATTTGCTAGAATGGCTCACAAAACTCAGGACCTTGCTTTACTTACTATGATGGGATTATTATTAAGGAACAACCAAATAGAAGAAATGCACGGGGCAGGGTACAAGGAAGGGACACAGAGCTGCCATACCTTCTTCAGGCGGTCATCCTCCCAGAACCTTCATGTGCTCACCAACCTGGAAGCCCTCTCAAACCCCATGGTCTAGTGTTTTTACAGAGGTTCCATTACATAGGCATGGTTGATCCAATTATTGGCCCCTGATTTTTTTACACTATCCGTCACTGTCACCTGCTTGCTCTTTTTAAAAAGCGTTTATTATTTGTTTTGGTTGCGCTGGGTCTTCATGGGAGCATGTGGGCTTATCTAACTGTGGTGTAGGTTCCAGAGCATGTGGTTCAGCAGCTGCACATGTGGGCTTAGTTGGGATATGTGGGATCTTATTAATAGTTCCCTGAGCATGGAGTCTTATCCACTGGACCACCAGGGAAGTCTCCATTGGCTTTTGATTGATCAGATCATTGGCCATTCCTTCTCCTCTTCCCAGAGGTCAGGGATGGAGTTGAAAGTGTTTATGATGAATAACAGAAAATGCCTCTTTCTCTCCTATCACTCAGGAAAATGACAAGGGTTTCAGAAGCTCCATGCAAGGAACCAGGGGTGAAGACCAAATATACATTACTTATTGCATCACCGTATCACAATCCTTTCCCCTAGGAGCCTGACCATCAGGTGTTTTCTACCTTGGTTGTTTTTATAATGATTTCTAATAGTTTTCCAGCTTTAACCAATATTGTTGGTGGAGGATTAGACTAATGCTATCTGTTTCATTACAAGTAGGAGCAAAAGTCTTCCTTGCTAACTGGTTTTAGAGGAACTTCTTGTAATTTTTCATAATTAAATGTACTTGATATACAAGCTGTGACAAAAGTATTTTCAATTTTCTTTTTGTGGTATTTGTGGAAGAAATGAACCAAAGTAACAGCTTCCCAGGGGACAGCATGCACATGAGCTAATCATAACATGCACTGGCTATCATAACCAGTACTAATTGGTTTCTCCATCAGTAATCTCAGCAGAAAAGTTAATTTTGTGATGAAACTAAGAATTAGTTTTATTTTTAGGTACTTAATTTAAAAAAATTCTGGGAAGAGCAGTATGAGGAATCTCTTACTAGTCACTGACCTTACCAGCATCAAGGTAAGTTTCTTTAATCTCAAACAATTTTGGCTTCCATTGTTTGTATTTATATTGTACTTCTGACCTGAATCTGAGGCAGTTTAAAGGATTTATATTTTAAAAGTTCATATTTAAAAAATTATGAGTTAGTAAGTATTATTACACATGAGAATCAATAAACGACTTTGTCTTTGAAATGAAGAAAAAGTGAAAGTGTTAGTCGCTCAGTCATGTCCGACTCTTTGAGACCCTGTGGACTGTAGCCGGCCAGGCTCCTCTGTCCATGGAATTCTCCAGGTAAGAATACCGGAATGGGTAGCCATTCTGTTCTCCAGGGAATCTTCCCAACCCAGGGATTGAACCCAGGTCTCTTTCACTGTAGTCAGGTTCTTTACTATCTGAGCCACCAGGGGTATGGACCAGCAAGTGGGTAATTCTTTTACTAATTAACTCTACAGAAGAAAGTATAAATTATAAAATGTAGGATTTAACAACTGATGGCCAGTGACCTGGAATCTCAACTGGCTTTATCCTTTATCAACCAGTCTAAACAAGACTGCAACCTTCTCAATGTTTTTTAAGACAGAAGAGGGAAGAGATTCTCTATTCCCCCCCCCCACTTTTTTTGTAATCCGTACACAGCTCTTTTAAAAACGGGAAAACACACACATACATACCCATATGGACGTATGTGTATGCATACACACCAATATACACACTAATCACTTTCTCTCACATAGTTTTTAAATAAGAAACCTAAATGTTTGACAGGAAGCTCTTATTTAATGCTGCTGATAAGTCATTTCAGTCATATCCGACTCTGTGTGACCCCATAGCGGGCAGCCCACCAGGCTCTGCTGTCCCTGGGATTCTCCGGGCAAGAATACTGGAGTTGGTTGCCATTTCCTTTTCCAATGCATGAAAGTGAAAAGTGAAAGGGAAGTTGCTCAGTCGTGTCCGACTCTTTGCGACCCTGCAGCCTACCAGGTTCCTCCGTCCATGGGATTTTCCAGGTGAGAGTACTGGAGTGGGGTGCCATTGCCTTCTCCTATTTAATGCTAGTTCTTTCTAATTTGTTCTGTATCAAAATTGCTCAGAACGTGGGCTTCACTCAAGCACAGGTAACCATGCTGATGATCTGCTATTAGCCCTTAATAAAAGGGGCACTTTCCCAACTCAGAAGTACCTCTCTTCATACCAGTGGGTGGAGACTAAGAGAAGGCAACAAACCAGGAGGCAGAAAGCAGAGAAAAGTAGAAGAGCACTTCAAAAGAGGGGCTTCTTGTAGACTCACCCCACGCGGCTGAGGCCTCGAGGTTTTCACCCTCCACCGGAGCCAGGCCGGGCTGCGTCGCTTGCTGACGACCCTTACTGATTCCAGTCTCTTTCATTGGGTCAAATGCTGTGAATGAGGGAGAGACATACAGCGTCTCCACAGAGGCCTGGTTACGGAAAGGAGGATCCGATTCTGATGTCCTTAAATGAGGGCCAATGAACTCTTCTTGACTAGTTGGCCAATGTGCTGACAAAGCTGTCAATGTGTCACAGCTTTTCGCAGCTGGCTGCTTTTCTAAAGGCATTTGCAAAGGGTTTCCTGTGATGGTCTTTGTAATGGTACTGTCTGAGTTCTTGTCCAGATTCACATTTGTCTGCAGAGATGGGCTTTTTTCTGAAGGAACAGACACAGCATCTGTAAAATAACAAATGAAAGAGCTATAAAAAAAAAATAAAATGGAAAGTACTTTATGTCAAATTTATTGCATTTTTAATAATTGGGGTTTTTTTTGCTGTAACAGAATTCTCTGCTGTTTAGTCGATTCTACTTTTTCACTGTTTCTATTCTGTCTATTTAAAGTATTCCCAAGTTTAAGTGATGACTAGTCATTCTGTGGCTGTCTTCTCTCTCTCTCTCTCCTTACTGAAGTCAAGGCCAGGCAGCTTCAAATAACTTGTCTTTAAATATTTCTCCCTTCACCCACTTATCCATCTCTGAAACCACTCTATTTTTAGTTCCTTCAAACTTTCATCTCTTACAAGATAAACTAGAGAAAACATGCCACCTCATATTGGTCTATCCTCACAGAACCCCCAACTACAAAAAAGTCTTTTTGCCCCAAAATAAAAAATGTCTTCTCGCCCCAGTGTCTATCCAAGGCCCATGAAAGAAAATAACTCTCTTAGATAGCAACCTAATTATAATAATAACCCAGTGGGAGAAAAGAAGCAATTTTTCCAGAACCGTTGTCATGATTACTAAAATGTACGTTCCATCAGGTCAGGGATCTTTGTCCTTTTTATTCATTAATATCATCAAAGTACCTAGGGTATAATGGGGAAAGTACCTGGAATATAACAGACAAAGTAATATTTACTACAAATCAAAGGCATTGAGAGAATGGAGAGGAACTGAAATTTATCTATTGAATATGAATTATGAGCCTGGTCCAAGTTTCTAGATGTAAATTGTTATCAACACTTTCAGTGCTAGGGACTTGCACTTGAATAGTTTCATCTGAAATAGTAAATGGCAAGAAAGAAAACTGAGAGAGGGCAAAAGGAAGACTGTCTCATTTGAGCTCCCCCAAAGAAAGGAGGCGATGGGAATTGTGCAAGTTGCTATGATGTGTTTACACGTCACAATGCTCATCACAATGTACCTCATAGTGAGCAGTGAGATGCTCATCGTTATCACTTTCAGACTGTGAGTTATTATAATGAAAAGCAAATTTTCTTTGACTCTAACCGTCTTTCCCATTTCATCCACAGTTGGAAGCTAACCTGGGCAAAAGTGCTGCTGGTTCACCACAGAATCAGACAGTTCAAGAAACCTAAATCATTACCTCTACTAGGAATTCTGTTTTTCCCCACAGCCCTCTCATCTCCAGACATTTTCATATTTAAAAACTCTGTTCAACTCTCACCTTCTCTACAAAGCGTGCCCTGATCTCACCTTTCCTCGCTCTATTCTATTATTGTTTATCTTATGGTATCTTGTTAGGAGTCCTGTGAGCAGTTGTAACGAGTTGCCATCTCTTTAACTATTAAAAGTCTGGCTGCCTACTTGAAAACAGGTTAGTTGAGGAGACCTTACTAGGAGTTTCCTTTGTACCCCAGCACCCAACAGTGCCATTCCCATAGGGTGTGTTTGATGAATGCTTGTTGAGTGGAAGGCCAAACTGAAACACAAGGATAAAAAAGGTAATGGCTTTGTTTTTAAAATGGAATACAGTTTAACTACTTAATAGTGATTAAAGGAAACAGAAAATTGCTAGACAAAAATAACACCTAAAATATTCCAGGTTTGCACATGATCATGTTGTATCTAGTGGAAAAAGGTTCTGTTAAAAAGACTAATACATTCTTAGTGTAATATGAGATCCATGGTATCCCACAGTGCATGTGTGCGTCACCATATTTACATAAAAGCATGGCTAAGAAGTGAACTTTAGCCAAATATTTTTCCATTGACTTTCATTTTTCTTAGGAGAAAAGTCTTTCTATAAGTAATGAAATCATCTTGAAATTGGTAGCTCAGACGGTAAAGCGTCTGCCTACAATGCAGGAGACCCAGGTTTGATCCCTGGGTCGGGAAGATCCTCTGGAGAAGGAAACGGCAACCCACTCCAGTCCTCTTGCCTGGAAAATCCCATGGATGGAGGAGCATGGTAGGCTACAGTCATGGGGTCACAAAGAGTCGGACACAACTGAGCAACTTCACTTAAACTAGGATAATTCAGAATGACAGTGACTTTTTGATAACAATATTCATAATAATACTCCATCTAAATCTAAAGAAAGAAGGAAACTGAAATCTTAAGACACTCCTTGAAACTCATTCCTCTGTGGATACTTCAAGTGAACTCTGCTAGCATTCTTTAGTCTCACTAAGCAACCTTTTCAACGTTCTTCCCCAGCTCTGTTTCCTTTAAAATGTAGACAGTCTGTCCTTGGCCCCTTTCTCTTCTGCCTCTGCCATATCCCAGGGCAACGTCACCTATCACTGCTCTTAAAGGAGGACGAGATCCACCACCTGTATGCAAGTAATTCACACATTTTAGTTCTCAGCTCTGACTTCTGCTGAGTTCCAGCCCCCAGCACACACCCATCTCTCTGTACAGGGCGGTCTTACTACCTCCAGCCTCCTCACCCTTGGGTGCTTGTTTTACCTCTATTAATATGACCATCAACTTCCCAGTCATGCGGGTTATTTTGGAGCACTGTTGCTACTACCGCCTCTAAGAGGTCTCCCCACCCGTCCCCTCAGTTCATTCTGCACAGTACAGCCAGAGTGGACTTTCCAAACTGAAAACCTGCTTGTGTCACTTCTTTCCAGTACATCTTCAAACTACTTAACAGGGTTTACAAGGCTCTTTATAAATCAGTCCTCATTTACCTCTCTTGCCTCATTTTGTACTGTTGTTGCTGTTCAGTTGCCAAGTCGTGTCCAGGTCTTTGCGACTCCATGGACTGTAGCATACTCTTCCTAAAACCATGATTCTGCTTAACCTCTCCCAGTTCTTCACATTCACCATGTTTCTTTCCGGTACCAAGTCTTCGCCCATGCTGTTCCTTCTGCCTGAAATGCTCCTCCCTCTTCATACCTGATTCCAGCTTCCAGGCTGATGGCCATTAGGTGGACATACACTTTCATGTCTCTCTGTGCTCTTCCTTCAGTCTAGAACATCCTCATCTTTACCCTCTTCTCTGTCAAAAACCTTTCCACTCTTCTAAACTCAATTCAAATACTGCCTCCTTGGTGAAATCCTTTCTATATCCTCCAAGTTAAAATGAATCCCTCTTTTCTTTGTTCTGCATGATACAATGTGAATATTCTTGTTTTCACTTATCATTTCAAATATTTACAGCCCATGGGGTTGGGAAGAGTCGGACACGACTAAGCATGCACACACATCATATTTCAAATATTATTCATTCATTTGACAAATATTTATTAAGTATTAGTATGTGGCAGGCACTAAGCTCTGATGTCAGCAATAAACAAATCTTGTTGTTGACACCTCGTTAGAGTTTGTTGACAGCTCTGGCACCCCCTAGAGTTTGCACACCCACTCACAGCACATATTGTGTTCAACTTGTTCAATCTGTGACTGACAGAGTGCCTAACATTCACTTGATAAATGTTTGTTCAAGGAATCATTATCTGAATGATCCAGTTGTTAAAAGGAACATGAGTGGAGGACAAGAGATGTCTTAGAGGACATTCTAATTCAGTCCTTTTGTGATACACAGGAGAACCTGAGATTTCTAGAGGTCAAGTGACTTGTCAGGCTCACAAAATGATTCAAGGGCAGAAGTAGGACCAGAACCCCAAATTCCTGATTTCTAAGTCAATGCTCTTGTTATTAGGGGAATATGAGAAGGAATAAAGCGAACCAGCTGCACCAAGTACTTCTTGCCCAACAGTTGTTGTAATGATACATAACTGAAGTGACTGGAGCTTTGGGATCAGGACATTTGTCCCTGGGGCTGCCTTTAGGAATGTGGGACCCTGCAGAGGGGGTCAGAGTTAAGTACACAGTTGGCCTATGTATCTGTGCCTGTTTGTCTCCTCCCAGGAGGGGGCATGGGTGGGGTAGGTTTTTTTCTTCGATTCATATGAAAAGAGAATAGCATCTATGGAAAATTTTTGGAAGCCCAGGAGAACCTGTGGGGGTCTGATGGAGAACAGCAAAAGGTTTCTCTTTTTATGCTCAAACACAAAGCACAAAAGTGGATATTCTGTAAACACTAAAACACTAAAGGGATTGTTTCATGAGGGATTCCCAAATTTCTCTCGGAGAGAATGTCTGTGAGTTCCACTGAAATGGCAGAGAGGAATACAGGGTGAATTAATTTGGTTGGCTTGCTTTATCTGGTTTCTTATTTTCTTTCCATTTAAACCTGAATGTCAAAAAGCTTTATTCTCAAGTATCTATTCAGCAGACTCCTGGATGGGAAGTTTAGAATTAAATTATGAGACTGTACTCAGTTTCTTTATTGTAACAGTACTTTACACCTGGTAAAATACTTGATTAATGCAAAATAGGACCTTGAAATGTCAGTCATATTAAAACTGGTTTGGATATTCTTGATAGTTATCTTTAGGAAGAAGCTTATTCCCTATGTAGGACATCAGACAGCAAATTTAAATACAGACTATCACCAAAATGCCTGAAGCAAGGGAAGAAAAAAAGACAGCCAACAACACAACTCCATGCTTTGAGCCTAAGGACAAAAGAGAAACAGCTATGCTGCTGAAGGTCCTGGAAAATGTTTTTGCTGGTTCAGAGACAATGATGAAATCATTTTTAAAACAGAACATCAGATTTAATTCTGAGTTGAGAAATCTTGCCTACAGACAGGAACATTCCCATACTGGTAGCTCTTTTACAATTTTCAATAATTCCACTGCCTTGTTTCAGGTACTATAATCATTGCAAATTATTTTATATTCTATTATACTGTGGATCTAATAATGGGTGTTATATTCCAACAGGCTATTGCTGTGATCAATTCTGTTGGTCTGATACACAGTATCTAACTACAGCTACAAAACAGAGCTGGCAAGCATGACAAAAGACGGATGCCACACCAGTCTTTCTGTAGTTTAAAATTGTATAACTAAAGGAGCTTCTACTTTAGTAATTATGTTAATCAGAGAAAATAGGACCTGAAGATAATAAGGCCATT